CCCCCCCCCCGTAGGAAATATCGGAAGAAGTTGCGAACCTCGTTTTCTTCTAATAATTCGGGGGATTGTTAGTTGATAGTTCAATTAGCCCTCGACATTCGCCGGTGCGTATAAAATACATTTACGTATCAAACTGCGCATTGAAATGCGAGAAAAATTGGAGACAGCTAGAAAATGAGAGAAACGCGGTTCCGCTTCGGGCGGAGCTGAGCGACCTCTCGGCAGTGAATTTCGGTCCCGAAGCTTTCGCTCGCTGAGAGGCGCCGCCTTAAGTTTTCGGGATCGCGACTTTTCGAGGATTGTCGCTGCACTTTCCGAACGTCGGTACTCATTTTCTCTCTCGCACTTACTCGACACGTCGCTGCTCTTCCGCCGTCTCCTGCCGACGACCTTCGTGCTGCCGGGCGCGTACAGTGGATCATCCTCAAGGGACACCTCCCACGCGATGGAGTGCCTCTTGCTGATGGGCGGCGGCGGCGGCAACAGCTCCTCCAGGGAGTCGTCGGAGAAGCGCTCCTCGTCGGACTGCGTCCTGAAGTCGGCGGAGTTGCGCGCGGACAGGTCCGAGTTCCTCGTGGAGAAGAGGTCGGAGTAACGTCCCTCGGAGCAACGGTCGGACGTGGGCGCGGAGAAACGCTCGCTGGAGTCGGCGCGCGGCAACGAGAAGGAGACGAAGTCGAGGTTGCGGATGGAGAACGGATCGGAGCTCGGCACCGAGACGTGGTCGTTCGAGCTCGCGCTCGCGACCGCTATCGAGAAGTCCGACGAGTGGAAGCGCTCGTTCGACGTCGAGTTGGCGCGCGAAAAGTCCGACGAGTCGCAGTTGGCGCGCATGGAGAAGCGCTCGACGCTGACCGAGCTCGAGCGCGGTATGGAGGACCTCTCGGATTCGGAGTTCCTCGAGAACCTGCCCTCGCTCGAGTCGGAGTCGTTGCGCCGCCGCTGCGCCGACGACGACGACGACTCTCTGTTCTCCGGCCTGTTCATCAGCAGCCGGTCCTCCACGCTGCTCGACTTCATGATCTCGTGATTCTGCGGCTGCCGCTGCTGCTTCCTCATCATCAGGTGAGACGCGCACTCCGGGCTCTGATGCCGGTCCTCCAGGCACTCCTCCGAGGAACGGCGGCGCACCTCGCGGTGCTTCTCCACCGCGCTCGGATTCGTCCGCGGCGGGATCCAGTTGAAGGACACCTTGCCGTCGTACGGCAGACTGGCGAACTTGCTGGGCGGACTCGGCGGCTGGGCCAGTCGCAGCGACTCCACCGTGCCGTTCTCCCAGCCGTACGGCCGCTGGTGCCGGGTCTTCGGCTGCGGAAATACATCGGCCGCGGTCACCACGAGGTGGTCGCATCCTCTCACGGGGGAAGGGATAGGCTAAATTTCATCCAGCTGGTGAATTCGAATGTCGGCTGTCGGAGGTAAAACGCATCTTCACCTCCGCTGGATAAATACATAAAAGTTTCCTTCGGCCCCGATCGCTCATAGCTGCCGAACCTGAAACCGCTTCGTCGATACTTCGGTAATTTCGCGGCGACAACATCGCGACTCCGAGCTGCTCCACGGGAAGAATCCACGGGCGAAGGGAAACACAAGGATACATCCCATACATCACGCCTCGTTCGTAGATCAACCGGAGCCGTCAATTTTACTCGTTCGTCGAACACGAGCGAGTCCGACGATCGAGAGTGATCCCCACGAGGTCGGCCTCGTGCGAATCGGGCCGGCTTCGATTTTACGCGGTTACGGTCGCCCCGGCCGTAACCGTAAACCAATATCGTTACGACGCGCTCCGACGAGAAAGTCGCGGGATTACGAGCGGCCGGGCGCCGATCTGCGGCCGCGAACGGTGCGTACGTCGCGACCGCGTCGTCGTAAGTAAACCGAGTTATCGGCGGCGATCAAAGAGAGAGGGAGAGAGATGCGGAAGAGAAGTACTCACGAGGGTGGTCTGCGTGGTAACGGCGTTTCCGTGCCGCATGCTATCCTCCACAGCGACCATCCACTGCTGCTGCCGGCCGGCGTTCCGCCGCTCCGAGTTCTGCCCGACGACGACGTTCCTCTTCGACGAGTTTCCCGGGGAAACCCTGGCCGACAAATGGAACATGGATGAAGAATGAACGGCTGTGTTTTTATTTATACAAATCATATGTTTATCGTATACATATATATGATATTATAAATATTTTAGTGAATTTGCGCATTTTCGTAACTTCCCACTACGATTTGAGACGCACAATTGGACGCCAGATACGACACGCTTGCGGAACGCAAGTGCCGCTTGCGGATTCAAGGATGAACCGCGCAACAATACGTCATCAACGAGTCGGGTGCCCGCGGCCGCCCGGAGAAGTCGGAAGTTTTTTATCCCATTAACCTCCTTTCGACATATTCCTGAAGTTGTCGAGTCGCCCAGGAGGAGCGCATAAATTTCGGCCACCGCGGCCGAATAAACGGACAGCATCGCGCGGGGATATCGGGGAAGAATAAGGGAACTTTCTCGGGAAGGAAGAACGGCGGAATAAATCCGATCGGAACTTATCATTGTCGCTCCATGCCAGCCGATCGATCAATCCGCCCGCGTCTTTTTGCTGAATCGATGGGGCCGAGAATCTTTCACGTACGCGATGAATCTCGACGCCGAGCGAGCGTTTTTTTCTTTCTTCAATAAATCGTCGCCAATCCTTCGGCCTCGCGAGAGTAAATTAAATGATGAGGGAATAAGTTAAGTTAAAAATGAAATAAATTGTCCCAATGAGAAAGTAATTTTATACCGATTCGTCGCGGGCCGAGTGACGTTGACGGACTCCTGTTAATTTCCTCATCGCCGAGCCGCTTTTCGGGGTCAAAGGTGAGTGAACTTCGGGCGGAAAAAAAGAGAGACGATAAGCGTAACGTGATTCAAGGGGGCGGACGCCTCGATTATCGTTCCCGTTTTACTCGAGCTCGCGACACATTATGTCCGGTAACGGCCTCCTCCCACCTCGTTTCCCCGATCACGATCGCTATAACGCGCGTGATGTTCGTCCTTTTTACCCGCTCGAACGGGAATTTTTACGGCGCGATTTGGCGCGACACGGTGCGCTCGCGTGATTTTTGCACGCCCTTTCCGACAGGCGTCTCAATCGCACCGACCGCCGGGCGTAAAAGCGACGAGAAGAAAGGAACGAACGACGACGCTGAGGAGCGAACCCGATCGATTGACACTCGACTTCCGTTTGAGTCGCTTCCAGTCGATAAACGTCGGCGCCGTCGTCTTACCGCCGAGGTGTCGAGGAAGAAACGGCACTCCGCGTGGAAATGCGATCCCCCGGATTATTTAGCACAGACAGTCGCCGATCGCGCGTCTCTCACCATGGAGTTTGAAATTAACGACGCAGCGCCGATCGCGGGAAAGAGGCTTTATTCTGAAATCTGGGAAAATTCCGACGCGGGAATCTGTTTGGCGCGCGCGGAACGGGTTTACCGCGGCGGAGTAGCTCGCGAGAGAGGAGCCGCACTGATTTTCTCACGTTGACGAGAACGACAACGACAGCGTCGTCGACGAGGGCGACGACGTTCTGCCGGAATGACGGCCGCTCCGCCGAGAGAAGAGAGCTTTCCCGAATAGGGAAGGCGCAGCCTGCATTTTCGAGGGCTCGCCGGCTCTTCACCGAGACTGCCGACGTTCCCTCGATCGCGATAAAACGGCTGCGGTGATAGTGGGCATGAAACGCGGTGATTAGGATCGACAGGCGCAATGAGGACACGTCGTCGTCGAGTACGGAGCTCAAGGAGCCATGTCTAACGAGAACAGTTGCGACTTAGCGCTCGTCGACCGACTCGGAATATTTCGCGGTACATCGCCGCGTCGTAAAAGTCCGCGTGGTCCCCTCATTCTCTGCGACCTCTCAGAGGCGAACAACCGTGCAAACAAACGAACGCGTCAGGTTAACAGCCCTTTAACGCCCGGCCCGGTTGATGAAATTGACCTCCGTAGTTTTCCGCGGCAGCGAGCCTGCAAAGGGGAAACCGCGGGCGGCGCCCCGCTACCGTCGTCCTCGCGCTTCGTCGTCGTCGGAGAATGCAATCGGAGTGATGTGTACGCGAAAGTAGTACGAATGACGGAGCGAACGGGGGAGTTTAACTTCCGACTTTCGTCGGGCGCGACGAGGTAACTGAGGGGGAGGAGGACGACGAGAAGGGTTTTCGCTTGTTTGAAGTAACGCCGGACGGAGTTGGCGGAGGTACGAGAACGCCGGCGATCCTGATGAAACGAAGTTACGCCCGGAACTGAAACTAAAGATATGAAAAAGTTCGGGGAGTCGCGCGCGCGCGCGTGCGAAAAGGACCAGCGGGAAGGATGTAAGAGGGGGACGCAGGGGGGCTGGCTTCTCATTACGGAAACGAAAGTTCGTGCTCGCGAAAGACCTTGAACACACTCGAATGAGGATTCGCAGATGGAGCGGCAGCGAGACATTTAAAGAGATGCGAGTCTCCTCCGTTTTGGCTCCCCTTCCCCTTCCCCCACGTCTGTCCTCCTGCCCCGAACGAGAACTTCGAGCGCGAGTTATCGCTGTTGTCTGGCGAACGAAATTATTTATAGTCGCATGCGTCGCTCCTCTCGTCTCCAGTTCCGTCGATAAAGAATGTCGCGACGATAAAGCGCGTGGGTATATCCCGCCGCGCAATTTCGCCGCTCCGAAGGTGGTATTACGCGAATCTGCAAGCGCAATTTGTCAATCCCCCCCGGCACGACCGTTTACAGATATAGGAAACAGCTTTGAATGAAAGATCCTGCGAGAGAAGACGCGGAGTTCTCTCTTCCGACGGTTTTCTTCAATACTCCACGACTACGTTTAAACATCTCTCTCTCTCTCTCTCTCTCTCTCTCTCGACGACTCAATCGCGAGTCAAGATCCTTGAGGAGGCTGAGTCCACTCGAATACTTCACCAACCGAAAAATTCTGTTACTTTATCACAGCTCGAGAGCTGAAAACGCCCTTTATCATCGCAGCTTCCTTATAAATGCGATCGTCAATAAATTCCGTGTCTCAAATTGTATCTTTTCCGAATTTTCAATGACGGTGAAAATATATTCAGCTATAATAAAAATATGCGAAGTAAAAATCTTGTGTCCAAATGTTAAAATTTCCTTGCCGGGTAAACTAACTGTTGTTTATCACTTCAACGTAAAATTAACATACAACTGATATGTTATATTTATATGAATTTAGTAACTTAACTTAATTTTTTATATTGTGAACAGCGCCACTTAATTAGAATTAACGGCTTAAAGCCATATTGCAATTTTTCTATTCGGCAGCAGGAGCCGAGTTTCTCCTCCCGTGTTACGTCTCGTGTTTTTGAAAGAAACGAAATTACTCTCGTCGAGTCGATGAATCCATGATTCAAGTTAACGCAGCCGTCGTCGCTTTTCTCTCGGTACCCTGTATATTTGTAACGCACGGGGGAAGTCGAGAGCCGTCTGTCAATATTACACTTTTGCTATCGGACGAATCCGACGACGGCGGGAGCGTTTGCGTGTGTCGGAGGAGTCAAATGAAATTCAACGGGGAAGGACCTCGCGTATGTCTATTGACAGACGGTGTATACGGGCGAAGTGTATATGAAGACGCGCGGCGGACCCGGTCGATCGACGCTCGACTTTCGACTGATTCGTTTCCAGCCGATAAACGGCGATACCGATGCTTCCCGGCGGCGTTTCCAACGGAAGGACACGCTATTTTTATTGCAGGAACCGCGAGTCACGCCTGACCTTACAACGACCGATAGAACTTCCCCGGCAAATCGAAGTCCGCGACTCTCTGTTTGAACTGATCGGAGCGACGGCGCACCGTCGCGGAATCGAGGGCGACGCTTTTCTCTCGAGGAAATAATTACTTCGTGAATTTTAACTCGACAAAGCTTCGACACCGATTCGCCCGAGAACTTACGAATCATCCCGACGCCCGATCGATACTCCGCGACTCGAGTATCGTGCGATAAGGAATTAATCGTTATCACGAGTTTATTCGCGAAAGCTCGTTTCTATTTCGACTCGGGGTATAATTTGCTAATTATCGACGAGAATGGGTTACTTACATCGGCAGGAGAGTCGAGATAATACGTTCGGCCTCCTCCGGGGGCGGCGGGAACTCCTGCGTGGAGACGCCCGCGGGATCCTGCGGCTCCGGACAGTCCGGAACCGGACGTAATGCTACCAGTGCCATCTTCGCCTTCCGACCATTCATGCTCATGTAACCGTCGTCCTCGGATTGGTGTCCTGCCGGCATACGTTTTACGACGGTGAGTTTTCCGTCGGAACGACCTCGGAACGACGGAGGGGTAGGAGGGCGATTTAATCCGCCGAACATCGACTTTCGTCCTAAACGCGACGTTTCCGTTACGACTCTTTCCGAACAGTTTTGATTCCAGCGAGAAATTGCATTACTTCCCCCCC